AAAAACTCAAGTTAAAGCTCAAGTAGGTAGGTAAAGATATCCAATGCAATGTTCTCTTAACTTCTTCAGATCTGTTACCACCATATTTATAGCCCTTTGCTCGAGAATAGCCATTTCTAACCATTGGGGTCATTAAATGCTCTGTAGGACGCAAAGCTCGAGTTGCAGGTTTGTCAGGAGAGACGACTTAACTTTCTAGAGTCGGCTTACACTTCCAGAGTCGGCTTTGGAACTCCAACTTTAAATACATTAAATATTCTTCAAATAAGTCGACCGTTGTGGATTAAATGTGCCCTCATAGTCGATTGTAAAGTTGAAGCTGGCTTTGCGTCTTTTCTCCGCGCACGCCAAACAACGACCTTCAAATTTTTGCCCGTAGAGCCGGCTGCAACTTCCAGAGCCGGCTCTCTGCACTTCCATTTCACCAGAGCCAGCTGTAGCTTTTAAGAGCTGGCTCTCTGCACACTTTAAATCCTTTTGGTCTATTTTTAGTGCAATCCAAGTTTACTTGCAATCTTTTAGCAACTTAACTACACACTTAAATAAACCAATTAGTCACTCAAATGTGTTTTGTATCATCAAAATCATAGGTACAACAATCTCCTCCTTTTTGATGATGACAAAACACTTTGAGAATTAATTAATGAAAGCACATAAATACTTCAGTATTAACCAGAATTTCAGCACAAGGTATTTTAGAAAATGACATTAAATTCAGCATATTCTCTCCCCCTTTTTGTCATTCATCAAAAAAGCACATAAACATAAGCAATAAACTCCCCCTTAATTCATCCTATCAACCTTTAAAGCATCAAGAATATGAATATAATCATCAATATAGCACCATAGACAACCAAAGTTATGAATACAATCATCAACCAATAAACTCCCCCTCAATAAGAGCATATTATCATCAAAATCATAAACAACCATTCACAAAGCATGTTAACACAAGTGATGCCATTTCCATTTATAAAACGAGATAAAAAGGTTCAAGTCATATCCATAGTCAAATAAAAACATAAAATGCATAACCCTAAGATGTCCATCCTAAAGATTAGCCAAACTAAAGAAATATCAAGTCAGTTGGCATCAGGTGGGGGTGGAGGAAAAAAATGGTTAACAAGTTGATCAAGCTTTCCTTCCACGTTAGTCATTCTCCCTCTCATTAATGTCCGGAAACCATAAAAGTCGGTGTGCAGTTGCTGCATCTCAGATATCATTAACTCCATGGTTTCACGGTTAGTTCTTTACATTAAGACTCAAAATGGTCTTGGGCTATCATCTTCATGTTCTTCTGCCCCTTGTTCTGCCATTTCTTGATCTATATCACCTTCTTCTTCATCCCCTTCTTGTTCCCCTTTCTTTATCCAAATGCCATTTCTAAACAAATAGTCCATTTTTTCAAAAGAAGCTTTGGTAAGTGTAGTCCCACTATGAACCGTTCCGAACCTAAAGGAGGTAAGATCAATATTGTTCCTCTTCGCCAATCTGGTAATTAAAGCACCATGAGGAAGTCCCGTAGTTGGTGAGTAAGGCTTGATTATGCTCCGGAAAATGTATCCTCCTAGGTTCACCCTTTTTCCCTTAAGAAGATAATCGAACCAGGGAAGATCACTGGCAAGAACATAAGATTTAGAACCCTTCCTCTGAGCAATAATGCGAGATATAATCCACTGCAATGCTCTATTCTCTGGTGTAAGAGACCCCACTTTAATTTGATTTTCAGTGCAATTAGGGGCAATTGTGGCTCTAACTAAGGCATGATTCACATCTAGAAACTCATCATCTCCTCCTTTAGGTATATTTAATACAGCACAAATATCCCTTGGTGAAAACTGAAATGACACCCTAACAACCATAGTTTTGCATTTATTCCCTCTTGGTTTCATATTAGCATAAAATTGATGAACAACTTCATAATACACAGGCTCTTTAATTTCTATATAATCCTTCCACCCAAGTTCCCTAAAAATTTGTTCAACACGCATATCTCCTTGAGGAAATTGACTGAATTTTACACAATTGTAAGATAAAACAGCCATATTCTTGATAATTTCATACTGTGTAGAGGCTTGGGTATCCAAAAAGAGATTTGATTGGGGGATGTTACCTTCTTCTTGTGCTTGACCACCGGTGCTAGAATTACCCACTTGTTTCCTTTTACTTCCAGCCCTTCTTGAAGCCATGAGAAAGAAATCCCAACAGCCACACCAAAAATACAGCAGATCCCACACAAATTGAAGTGAAAAGCTTGAGGTTTTGTGTTGGGCAGGCAAGGATTTGATGGTATTTTAGTGTTTAAGGGATGGGTTTTGGAGATTTGGAGAGATTTTGGTGTTTGGGAGAGTGAATGGCGAGTTTTGGGAGAGGAGAGATCGCAGGTTTGGGTGAGAAAATGAAACAGATCTGGCTGGTTTGTGCGAGAGAGAAAACCCGAGCCTTAAAATTCTACAGGAGAGCCAGCTATAATTACAGAGCCAGCTGTAAAGCGAGTCCGGGTCGAGTCGCCTGCGGTTGAGCCGGCTGGTGAACCTAGAGCCGACTGTGGTTTAAAGAGAGAAGACTCTCGGTTTTTTTGGGTTGAGCCGGCTGTGAACCTAGACCCGGCTGTGGTGTAGAGAGAGAACACTCTCAGGTTTTTGGTTGAGCCGGCTGTGAAAAGGGATAAGCCAGCTCTACTGGCCTTGATTGGGACAAACAAAAAGTTTGGGGCTGTTTTGAAGGGAATGCACCTTAATATGATATTTCTTCATTTAACTAAGTTTAAATTGGACATCAACTAAGTTTAAGTTGGACATCAACTACTAGATAATGTAACTTTAGTCATATATCAATGTATGCATCATCAAATATCATGAATATGATCAAGATACACAAATCAAAGCATCAATATACACAAATTCTAATAATCAAATTCATTAATTTCAAGAATCATATCAAACATTAGGAAAGACACATCAAATGGAATCATACTTAACAAGCATATGTATTAAAGAGTGAGCACACATAAACCAATAATTAATAGTCATGCTAATGTAATTATACTCAAAGAATAAATACAATAAAATAAATAATACCAATTTGAGCACATGAGTGGAGCATTCAAAAACAAATTTCCTTTGCACTTCCACTCCAACATTTTTGTTGAGGCATAAGTCTTTTTAAGATCTACTTTGCTTTCCTTATGACTTTGCCATCAACTTTGCCTACAAAACAAAATTAAGTTTTGATTTTTGGTACCCAAATTTGCTTGGGTCCATGAGAGTTAGTGCTTAAAGTTCCTTTTGGAACCCAAATTTGCTTCACTTTACCTTGAGCTATCAATCTCTTCAAAGAACATACATAGGCAAAGTGTCCATTTGCACCACAACAATAGCAAGTAACATTACGATGATAGGATTGACTTGCTCTTACAAAAGTAGTCTTAAAAGTCTTTTGCTTTTTAGAATAATCAAATCCAATGCCCCCTTTGTCATAAACATTTCTTTGAGATTTCAAAATAGAATCAAAATTTTCTTTACTCAAAGTAAATTTGGAAATCACATTTTCAAGATCACAAGTTTTTCTCTTTAAAACCTCATTTTCCTTCTTTAAATCTTCATTTTCCTTTTTCAAAGCATTATTAGATTCCTCATTCTTTAAAGAAGCAATCTCACCATTTAAAGAGGCATTCTCTTTAACTAAAACCTCATTTTGTTTTGAGAGAGATTCAATCTCATTCCTAAGCAATGAAATGGTTTTAGTAAGAGCAATATTCTCATTTCCTAGTTTCTTAATGTCATTCATAAAGCAATCAAGAACTTTGCATAAATCATCATAAAAATACTCAAATGAACTTTCATTAATTGAACTAGAGAAGTTAGAGTTTACCTCCTCATCATGGTTGCTATCCTCTTGAGCCATGAAGCAAAGATTTGCAACACCTTTCTCTAAGATGCTTTCACTTTCCGTTGAGCTAGTCTCATCATCACTCCAAGTGGCAGCAAAAGCTTTCTTCTTCATGCTCTTCTTGCCTTTCTTCTCACCCTTCTTCAAATTGGGACATTCATTTCTATAGTGCCCCATCTTGTTGCACTCATAGCATTTCACACTCCTTTTGGTAGACTTTCCTTCATCTCTTTTTGCAAGCTTGCTCTTGATGTGCTTCTTCATGAATCTCTTCACTTCCTTTGAAATCAATTTGGTGATGTCCTCCTCATTGCTAGACTCATCATTACTAGCATCATCTTCACTCTCTTCCTTTTGGTTGCTAGCCTTGAAAGCAACATTCTTCCTCTTCTCAACTACTTCAACTCCACCATCAACTTGAACTTCTATCTCATATGTCATCAATTTTCCAATGAGATCTTCAAGCCTGAGGGTGTTGAGATCCTTAGACTCTTCAATTGCGGTCTTCTTGGCTTCCCAATTCTTGGGCAAGCTTCTAAGAACCTTCCTCACTACTTCTTGAGAATGATAGACTTTACCAAGAGCCTTGAGATTGGTGACTATATCATTCAATCTTGTGTACATTTCTTGAATGCTCTCCTCCGGTTTCATCTTGAAAAGCTCATACATGTAAATGACTCTATTGATTTTTGACTCCTTCACTTGGCTTGTTCCTTCATGTGTCACCTCCAACATGTCCCACATCTCCTTGGTCGTATCACATCCGAATACTCTATGGAATTCCGTTGGATTGAGAGCACATTGAAGCATATTGATTGCTTTGTTGTTGATCATGATCTTCACCAAGTCTTCATCATTCCAATCAATCTCTTCCTTTGGCACCTCTCTTTCTCCAACAATTTTCATAGGTACATATGG